CTTGCCTAGGCTAGATTTTAGGTTGGTTAAAGCAGGTTTACAGTAGGTTTTACGAAGACATGGACTTCCACTGTTTCAGATGAACTCCAAGGGTGTTAATGGGGTGTTAATTAGATATCTCCATCCTGGCAGGGCTGGGGCTTTCACATCCCCCATCGGCTTTCAGTTTCTAGTATCTTTGTTTTGTTCTCAACTCTAGCAGCTGCTATCTGGTAAGCCTTGAGTGAGTGATCTCACTCACCCTGTGTCTACAACACAGCCCTCAAACACAGACTCATTGGAGACTCCCACACAGACTTCCAAGGTCCTCCTCCTGCACAGCTCCCTCCTGTCCAGTTGCCTTGCCCTGAAAATCCCAGCCATTCTAGCTGCCCTGAATCTCTGCTCTCTGCTTTCTCAGCTTAGCCAAAATACCATGGTCTGCTTGGACTCCCTTTCTCTTCATTTTGGTGAGGAAATTTTGAATATTCCCTCTGGGATTACTGTCTTGTACTGCCTGTTAACCATTTCCTGGAAACATTTATTTTGTTCAATTTTATAATTATTTTGGAGAGAGGAAGAGCTATTTTGGTTCTAGTTACTCCATCATGGCTGAAAGCTCCTATAGTTTTTATATTGAGGAATAGAGAGAAAAACTCCCTACCCCGATGGTTATTTAAGGATGAGTGACCAAAAAATGGCAGAATTTTGTTCATTAAAGCTCATGTTTGATGTCTAGAGTTTAATAATTATAAGATAATTGAAATAATAGCTTCCTGTTATTAAAATGTATATACTCCATTTAGGATTTGAACTTTTCAAAATTATTTTTTAAGCATGTTCTAATATAGGTAATGTTCTATCTAGGCTATTTTTACTGGTGCCCTCATGAATTGTTCTAGAAATATTATTTAATAAAGAAAAAACAATTAAATATTTTAAATTAAACATGAGAGTTTCTATAAAGGCTAAGGTCATTCTTTTGTGAATAAAGGTGTGCTGTAATTGAATGTATTGCATTATGCAATATAGATTGCATAATGTTTGCAACTGGGCAAGATACAGGACTTCTGAGGCTAAAGTACCTAAAAACCTCTCATCAAATTATTCTTCCATTGGGCTTCCCTGGTGGCGCAGTGGTTGAGAGTCCGCCTACTGATGCAGGGGACACGGGTTCGTGCCCCGGTACGGGAAGATCCCACATGCCGCGGAGCGGCTGGGCCTGTGAACCACGGCCGCTGAGCCTGCGCGTCTGGAGCCTGTGCTCCACAGCAGGAGAGGCCACGACAGTGAGAGGCCCGCATATCACAAAAAAAAAAAAAAAAATTATTCTTCCACTGTTTCAGGGAAGATTTTCAGCCTCACTGTGAAAATGGGTCTGTTTAAGAAGCCAGCTCCCCCTTCCTTCACTTCCAGGATTTTTACGTTTCTAAGGAGAACTGAAAAACCTGGTGTAGGTAACTGGCATGGACCTAGTATGAAGAGTTCTGAATCAATAAATTACTGCCTAACTTTGATTTCCGACGCTAAATTTGAATTAAGACTATTGCTCAAGGGTCTCTGCAGAGACAAATAAGTAGAGGACTCTTTAGAAGGCTGGCTTTTATTTATAAAAGTTTTTCAGAATAAAGCTGGCTGTGAATGAACTTATTTAAAAACTCTCTAGCCTCGCTGGTAATCAAAGATATGCATATTAAAACAACAATGGGATACTATTTCCCTGCTAAACATAACGACAAAGAGGTTTTACATGTTAGTCTTAGAGCAATTGAGGGTGAAGTGAAGTAGGTAGCTCTGTTTGGAGCGTAACTTGGTACACATTTTCTGGAGGGCAACAGACAAAAAAGAGTTTCAAAAATGTTTATGTTCAAGAATGTTCATCACACAGTTGTTTATAGTAAAGAAAAAACTGAAACAACCAAATGATGAGGGACTATTAATATTTTCAGAGAATATTAAGTAACATGGGGAAATGCTTTTGATACAGTATTTGTGCTTAAAATAAGCAGGATCTAAAAATTGTTTATTTAGCATTAGAATTTTGATAAAAATTCAAAGTAACATTTTAGGATATTATATCATATACAGCTATCCATTACCATGTGCAATGCAGATCTATATATATCTATATCTTTAGATAGATATTTTTAAACCACAGGGTTTAAAAAGGATTTATTTGTTTTTTAGCAGGGAATACTCCAAAATATTCAGCACAAATAATAATCCATTCGAAGGTCTCTAGGGATGGAAATTCTGTAACTGTTTGTAGTGGTTTTTATCTCCGATGGTGAAGAAGGTTTTTTTCTTAAGTTTAACTGAAATCTCTCTGATTTAATTCAAATTCACATCCTCTTGCTCTGTCTGGTCTTCAAAACTGTAAGAACATTTTTTGATATTTTTCCTTCTTAAAGGAAAATGTAGAAACACAAATAAAACCACATTAGACATCTCTTTTTATCAGATTAAATATCTTTATTATAATATTTTCCTCATTATTTAGCATTTACCATTTTGTAAATGTCTTTTTCTCCCTTGAATCTGCTTTGATCCTGTACATTCACTGGTAGCCCGTACCTTAAGAAGGATTAGGAACCTGCAGTAAAAAGGAATTCATATATTTGTCGTGAACCCCTGTCCCCTCTACTCCTTCACATTCATTTCCTGCCTTGGCTGGGACATTGAAGACTTTAAGGGAATCGCAGGAATAGTTGCAGTAATAACAATTTGGTTTCTTTTAAATTTCTTGTTTATCTTGGATAATTTAACTGTCTGAGGGTGCAAGGGATGGATTTATAGTTGCTGGAAACATGCCACATGGCAGCACGGTGCAAGGTGCTTTACATGTGTCGCCTCCAGCAGTTCTACAGCACCCCTGCCGAGTAGTGATCCTTGTTCCTATATTAGGAAAAGGACATTGAGGCCCACACAGCTTAGGTAATTCGCCAGTCAAAGAGCAAGTCTGCATCAGGCTGGATTTGATCTCAGTTCTCTCCAGGTTCGTGCTACTGCATAGTGCAGTTTTGTTTTGTGATTTTAGAGAATAAACGCTCAGTTGGCTCTTTCTTAACCTTAGCCTTTTTAGTATATAATTAAAGCTTTCCATTAGACAGAACTTACTTTTTGTTGACTTGGTTTACAGTGAGTTAAAACTCCTAAAACAATGATAGTTGCCACTTTACTTATTTTGCCATATGTCTCTCCTGGTGGTTACATATTACCTAGTTACCTGCAGCCGCCCTCCATGGCAAATGGCAAACTACGGACCAAGGATCTGAAATATAACTTCTAGAACAGCCTGGCTGTGGATCCATCAGGATGGTCTTGGTGAAGTTCAAGGTCAGGGAGGTCACAGATACCAGAGGTACAGAATTCTGCAAATTGTTCAGAAGGGGGACATAGTGGTGAGGATGGCAGTGAATGATGAGGTCCCTCCCAGGCCACAGCACCTCTTCCTTCCCTATCTTTAATCCCCTTTACTGAGGATGACACCAAAGCTGCAGAAAAAGTACTTTCAAAATTATTTTATAAAACTTGTTATTATGAAAGAATTAGGCATGCAGAAAAGCATAGATAGTGATACAATATTTGTTGGCATTCTAGCATTCTGCTTAAGAAATAGAGCATTGCAAATACAATTGAAACCCTTTCTGTACCCATGCCAATCCTGTCCCCATCTCCCCTCTTTCCCCAGGGGTAATATGTGTTTGAGATTTACGTATGTTAATAATTATAGCTTTAATTCATTCACTTTCACTGATGTGTAGTTTTCCACTCTATGAATATACTGTAATTTATTTACATTTAGGAGACAGCGGTAAGGTTGGTGGGGGAATATGTGATTAGATGTGAGTGATTTTCTAGTTTTATTTTTGTGTTGGGAGATGGGTTAAACAGATGTTTATTACATTATTAAAAATAAGTAAATGAATATAAGCTGAACAGTCATCATGGACCAAGGATCATGATTAATCCAATTACGATACACCAGATTATGAAAAAAAAAAAAGACAACTGTATTAGTTTGTTAAGGCTGCCATACAAAGTACATGGACTGGGTGGCTTAAACAACAGAAATTTATTTTCTCACAATTGCGGAGGCTAGAAGTTCAAGATGAAGATGTTGGGCTCCCCTGGTGGTGCAGTGATGCATAATCAGCCTGCCAACGCAGGGAACACAGGTTCAAGCCCTGGTCTGAGAAGATCCCACGTGCTGCGGAGCAACTAAGCCCGTGAGCCACAACTACTGAGCCCATGTGGTGCAACTACTGAAGCCCCCATGCCTAGAACCCGTGCTCCGCAACAAGGGAAGCCACTGCAATGAGAAGCCCGGGCATCGCAACAAAGAGTAGCCCCGGCTTGCTGCAACTAGAGAAAGCCCGCGCACAGCAATGAAGACCCAACACAGCCATAAAAAAGAAAAAAAAAAAAGATGAAGATGTTGGCAGGTTTGGTTTCTTCTAAGGCTTCTCTCCTTGGTTTGTAGATGGCTGTCTTCTCCCCCCTGTGTCCTCCCATGGTCTTCCTTCTGTGTGTGTGTGTCTGATTCCTAATCTCTTTTCCATATAAGAGTACCAGTCATACAGGATTAGGGTCCACACTAATGAACTCATTTTAACTTAATTACCTCTTTAAAGACCCTGTTTCCAAATACAGTCACATTCTGAGGTACTGGGAGTTAGGTCATCAACATATGAATTTGGGGACACGTAATTCAGCCCCTAACAACTATTATAGACAATGCTTCAAAGCAAAGTTCTCCTTGTACACGTAAGTGCAAGTTTCCCTGGGGAATCCACTTAAGTATGGAAGGGTGAGGCCATATAACGGAGTACGGTTTAAGTGGATGGTGATGATGTTTGCAGGGTAAAAGTCTGAAAAAAAAGTGATGATCGTAGCTAGTATCTTTCAAGTGACAATAACTCTATATTATACAAAATTTTATTTAATTTTTACAACATCTATTTGAGTTAGGTGTTATCATTATTCCCATTTTACCAATAAGGAAACGGAGGCTTAAGGAAATGAAGTAATCTTTCTGAGGGTCCAGAGGAACCAGCGATAAAGCTGGGATTCTAACCCAGGTCTGTTTGATTCCAAAGCCTGTGCTTTCATACACTGTAGCTTCATTTGAGAACACACGCACACACACCACACACACTGCCTCAATGAAGTGTTGCCCTGCAGCACAGTTAGCCACTAGTTCAGAAATCCCTTCGTCCAGCTGCAGTACGTGCGGCTGGGAAATGAATGACAAGCGTGTGAGAACAGCCCAGGAAAAGAAAGGAGGTACAAATTCCCTGAAAAACAACTCCCAGAAAGGCACGTCTGTGTTGATGTATAAAAATAGAAAAGGGTAGAATCCTTGTGGCTGTGGAGCCCTAGCCTAGCAGCAGCAGCACGACATCCTGTGACGTCAAGAAGTGGTGGCGGAAGTCGCTGCGAACAATGGCCACAGATGCCAGCCGAGGAGAGAGCACTGCTGGGGGAAGACGCGTGTGTCACCCGGCAGCTGCGGGGCGTGCACAGGAAGGAAGTGCAGAACCCGCGGCATCACTGGCCTCCCTCCGAGCGCTGTTTTGAGCACCGAGCGACCTCAGAAGTGCAGGGCGCTCAGCACAGGTGGTTTATCGTCACTGTTGTTATGCCCTTCATGTGGCCCATTTCCCGCAGACACACAAGACAGAAACAGTAGCCTCTTTGAAAGAGGAGGTAAGAATTAGATTAATCAGCCCTCCATTAACATCCCAGGGTGGAGGTGTCTGCTCCATTCACCTAATGACCCGAACCTTTGCATAACTTGTGCAAATAGCTCCTGGACAGCTCTTGGGAGGGAAATGCGCTCTTCTTTTTGACTTTTATGACATGAAGAATCCGAATATGCTGGTCTTGGCACCCTAAAACAAGCCGGAAAGGGAAATTCAGATTTCACGTGACGCACAAGCAAAAGTGATTTTCGGTAAATGAAGATTCAATTCTTAGGGTGGGGATACTAATAACACAGGTCAAGTGATTTGAAAAGACTTTTACTCTCTTTTTTTGTTTGTTTTCTCTCACCCCTTCCATCTCTTCAGCCCACCTGGAATTTCTTCCCTTGAAAAGTTCTAAAGGATCCTAGAATGAGAGGTAAGAAAGATGAGGCCGTCGAAGCCATCTTTCTGCTGCGGAGATATTCCCGTGGTACAATCTGTAATGCTTTGCCTAGTGTGGCTTTGAACAATGTGGCTTTTATCAGATGAACGGTCATGGAGGTGGAGGCCTGTGTTTCTGTCCAGAGCAGGTATGGCCCTGGGAGGAACGAAGAAGAGGCACACCTCCCTGTACCGGCCCGACCTGCTGGCGGGAACTCAGAAAGGCAAAAGGGTAGTGAGCAGTCCACTTTGATCTGGTTCGCTTTCAGGCCCATTGCTGTGTGGTTGTGTGTTTGTGCACTGGGGGCAGGGCGAGGGTAGTAAATACCGGGGAGAGTTTTGCAACACATGCCTATCAGCTGAGCACTGAACAAACTTTTTTACCAGTGGCTGTTTCCCTGAGGCTGCTGACAGTTTGTTCAACTTGTGTGAAGACATTCCTGAAAAAAAGGAGCATTTGTTCAACTTATATAACTGCTTTTTCTATCATAATACTCAAGCGGTCCTTCCAGGCCCATGTCCTGTTGAACAGAGTCCACGTGAAACTTTCCTTTCCACACTCAGAAACCTGACGACCTGTTTCAATTCTGCCCAATAGCATAGCTTAAGGTTTGCTTGCGGTCCTTCTCTGGCCCTCCCATACACCCAGATTTTGTAATGACATTCCTCCTTCCTCTTCTAATTCTATCGAATTAAAAAAAAAAAAAAAAAGCCAAATCTTATGATTGAACAATCTCTGCAATGTATTCTTAAATTGTTTGTACGTGTAAAATGGATATATTTTTAAAGCATACGGGATACTGTGTGATTCTGGAATTGCAAGGTGGGAGTTTAGCTAGAGGAGTTTGGGAGGTATCACCATGTGTGCGTCGCAGGGGACACTGCTGCTCAGGAATATGGGGGATTTGCCTCCAGGCACTTCCTGCCCCCGGTAAAAGAGTTACATACAGCATGTGCAACTTCTCATATTTGGTAGAACTTCTTTTTTCCCTGCCCACTTCTTTTTTTGAGAAAAATACGTTATGCTTTGATTTGTCTCTATTTAGAGGTTTTCAATTCAAACTGGTTTAAGGCATTATAATTGAATACAAGTTGCCTGATAATCATTATTCCACCTCAGTGATTCCCAGTACTTCTAATTCTGTGGCCTCGTAAGATTGCCAATTCACCAAGGCAAGCTTGGCCGGCAGGGGAGCGACTTACACTGGCTGCCTCTTGTTTAGGGGTATTCAGTTTACAGTACGCCTTCACATAGGTGCTCTCACTTGCTTCGCACAGAGCTGACGAATAAGCGGCACTGCTGTCACTAGATTCATCTGACAGATGAGGCCACAGGGCTCTGGGAGGCCAAGGGCTCTGGCCCAAGTCGCAGTGGGTAAGTCGCGTAGCAAGGCTCCTTTCCCCCAGAGCATTTATTGCTGAATCAGCGCTAGTTTCCACTAGTGTTATGGTTGTTCCCACGTGACAGTCACTGTGCTTCGTGCTTCATGCACGTTATTTCAGTCACTACTCGCTGCTACTGTAAGAGTTGGCATTAATCATGACAAAAGAGGAGTATGAGACTCGTGTCACCCAGTCTTCTTCTTGGAATCAGCACCTCTGGCCCTCTTTAACCTCTAGCACTCTCACGGACATCACCCTGTGTTTCACTAAATGTTCAGACCCTTTCCCCTTTCCATCATCTTGCTTTAGCATAATATAGACGACAGAAAGTGAATGCGTGGGCACAAGACGTCTTGTCAGCGGAGGAGATTTGGCTGCCACAGGGATGCACAGTGAGGAGCTCTGAACCGTACACGTGGGAAACCAAGCGCTGGGTGCAGCCTGGGATGAGAAGCGAGGAAGACACGAGCCATCTGTGGGCAGTGTGGCAGCTCCCAAGGGGAAGAGGCCAGTGTGAACCCCAGAAAAGTCAGGGTCTCAGAGCCGCATGGCTCTGTGTTTATAATACCCTGAGGTTATTGAACACATTGCCCGGAGAAGCCTGTTCCATAAATCCACAAAGGGAAGGGCCGCTCCGTTCTCAACTGGGGGTAATCTTTTTAAAAAATTTGTATTACTTTTTCAATATTGTTGCCACTGCTGCACCCTTGGCATTATCTGTGAGCAATCCTGTGGACCTGGCAGACGCCGGGACCAACTTGCATTGGGAAATGCCACAAGTGGAAAATCTGAGTAAAAATTTTCAGGAAAATACAATAAAATATTCCTGAGAGTTAAAATTAATCATGGGGACGTCCCTGGCGGTCCAGTGGTTAAGACTCTGCACTTGCACTGCAGAGGACACAGGGTTCGATCCCTGGTCAGGGAACTAAGATCTCACATGCCTGCATGGCGCCTCCCCCCTCCCCCCCAAAAAATCGCTTGAATATGTGTGGCTCATATTCTTGAGTTTAAAGTTAAGTTTCAAGGGGTGTCCCTTATAACATTCATATAAAAATTACCATTATGTTTGAAAGCTTCTATTTCAACTGATGTTGGGATTTTAATATTACTTCTAAGGAATGTGATATATCAGAGCTACTACTGGCTCTTACATGTCTCAGCTTTTCCTATAAATGGGAATAAAAAGATACCTGCTAAGAGGTATGGATTCATTTTAAGTTATTGGTGATGCCCAACTAAACTATCATCATGAAGTAAAATGCATTATTATTCAGAAATATTGAAAGCTTAATAAGCGGAACGAGCTTGGTATCCTAAAGACCAACTGACTGAAAATCAATTGTCTTATGTGAAAATAAAGTGTTTTCTCTATGTGACTGGTTTCTTTTTGTGCAATAGGAAAGTTAATCTGGAATCACTAAGATGGAATGTTCCAGAAATAGACACTGTTCGTGTATGTAGGGGCAGGGTAAACTCACACTCCCTAATTGAGTGGACAAGTCAGGGTTTGGCCAGGAAAACAGAAACGCCCCTTTGTGTCCTAGATATAAAGAGGTTAATTGAGAATTAGGAACTTACACAACTTTTGCAAGAGCTGGGGGTGGGGATGGTGAGGTGGGGTGCACCAGTGTGGAGCTTGTCAAGCTGCCCTCGAAGGTCAGAGGAGTTGACACTGAAGCCCACTGGAGCAGTTTTCAAAAGCTTGTCTGCAAGCTGCCGTACTTCCTGGGAATTTCTGAGACACTCTCACTGTCAGTCTGTTGGGCCAAGTGGGTGGTTCTCAAAGGCTTGCCTGTGCATTCGTGTGCAAATGCCTCCAGAGAATCAGAGAGCTGGCTTCCCCTTGCACATCTATTCCAAGCCCTCTCCAAAACTGCAGGAAGATTCCGGGGCAGTTCCTAGGCTTAGAAGCGGTTGGTGGTGGTGCCTACTTCTCTAAACTCTTGCAGAAAAATAAAATTTGATATAATCACAGAACAAAAATACACCCTGGCATGAGTTCATTCCTTCCTTCCTTCGTTCATTCAACAAAATGCGCTTTGAATAGTCAGGCTATGTGTTGTACGCTTGGAATACTTATCGTATAGAGACAGACTTAATCGCTGCTTATTCTAGTTGGGAAGACCATTAGCATGCAAGTAACCCCCGCAAAAAAATAGTATAGGTTTTGATGGTGTGAAGGACATAGGTGCTGTGGGAGGTGGCATTTTAGACTGAGTGGTGCACTTTCACATGTATTGTATTAGGCTTATCTGGATATATTTCTTACTTCCTCTGTGAGGTTTTAAGCCCTTGGGGAACAGGAAAACTAGCCTACTTATAATTTTACTCTTTACAGGTCTTGCATAGGAGAGTAGGCACCAAGTAATATTAGTTAGACAAAGGTGGGACACAGTTCAGAATTGCATACAGAGTCAGGAGGTTCCGGGCAAATCAGATGGGTGAAATGTTTTAGTTTTGTGTGTGATTCACATACTTATGAAGATAAGGGTTCATGGTAGGGATTGGTCACATATTCCTCTGATTCTTTTGTCAATTACCTGGGATCTAAGCCTTAACACCCTGGTTCTCAGAGTTCTGATGAAACAATCTTCCTTTGAGGGGATGAACTCCTCCAGTCTAACTGCCTGAAGGGGGCAGAGTCAAAGGTAACACGTTGATTAATATATTAGACTAGTATTCCATTACACTGGCATCCTAAAAGATGCAAGTGAAAAATTAAAGCCTGTCACAAATTCAGGAGAATAAATATTTTTGTTTGAATTATCCCGATTAAACATCTGTATCCCATGCAGCAATTGACATGTTAGCGGACTAATTGTGTACCTCTCAGGAGAATGACCCATGGGGCGAAACTTATAAATAGCATAGACGTAGGTTTGTTCAAGGTTACCTTTGGGGGATAATGTCAAAAGCCCACATCTTCCTGAAAAGCAGATTATCTAGTGAATTATGCTAATTGTTTCTTCTCACCTCTTGTTTGAAAATGTAAATGAGATTTATAATCTCTTACTCTATTTTATCAAAATAAAGGCAATCAGAAGGAGAAATATGCCAAGTTAAGTTTCACATCTCTTTGGCTATCTCTCCACAGAAACATATCCCAAATCATCTCTTCTCCCTGTGTTTGATTCTCCCTGGTAAGAAAGAAAGTCTTGGTACCCAAGATTGATTGGGAAGAGTAAGTTGCAAATTTTGCTGCTGTCTGTAAACAGATTGTTAAATGTGGCTAGTTAGAAGGCAGCTAATTCTGGGGACCTTTCTGTGGCTCACCATTTCCTCTTCTGCTTCCCAATCTCCCCAAAACTATTAATGGCACATTTTGCCCCAGCCTGTGTTGTATCCAATGATAAACAGATGGATCTCAGCCACAGCATGAAGATGGGAAATCTGTTTGGGACAATATGTTTCATATTTCTAGCCAGCTGCCTCCTGCTTCCGTCTTCATAAGGTCTGCTAAAAATTTAAGATTTCTCATTGTGATCTGTGGAGTGTTCTCCACACCCCCCTTCCTCCTCTGCCACTATAAATTATTTCTCCAGTAGTGATTTATGTAGTGTCTTTAAGGAAGAAAGTCTGTGACAGCAACACAAAGAGAAAGATGCTCCGGATGGAAAGCCACACGAGCTCCCCCCATCCCACCAGGGTAGTGTCCCGGAGCATTAAACCATAGTTTTCTTTGATTTTTTGACTGTGAAAGAAAAAAAAAAAACTTATTCCCTCTCCCACATCCTTCTCCTCAATTCAGACCAAAGTGCATTTAATTACCTCTCAGTGTCATGTTAAGATGGGCTGATAATTATTACAGAAAAGATCAGCTTAGACACAAGAGCAGTGTTACCCGAGTAGGCCCTTGTGTCAGGGTCTGCATGTCTCTTTCAAGCATGTTGAACCATTTAACCTATCAATTTGGCTTCACTTAATTTGTCTCTACTAAGTATATGATGGAAGTACTATGGTAAAGAAACATTTCTAGGGGATTTCAATATTTGAAAATTATGAATTGCTGTGTTTTTATTTTATTTGCTGTGACAACCTATCAATCAAAATGTTTATTGAGGGACTTCCCTGGTGGCGCAGTGGTTAGGAATCCACCTGCCAATGCAGGGGACACGGGTTTGAGCCCTGGTCCAGGAAGATCCCACATGCCACGGAGCAACTAAGCCCGTGCACCACAACTACTGAGCCTGCGCTCTAAAGCCCGTGAGCCACAACTACTGAAGCCTGTACACCTAGAGCCCGTGCTCCACAACAAGAGAAGCCACCGCAGTGAGAAGCCCGCGCACCGCAACAAAGAGTAGCCCCCACTCGCCACAACTAGAGAAAGCCTGCGTGCAGCCACGAATTCCCAACGCAGCCAAAAATAAAACTAATTAATTAATTAAAATAAATAAATAATGTTTATTGAGTGCCATATGCTGTTGTGAGATCTACATCATACTCTGGAATGGCAATGATCACTTAGCTATCTATTAGATTCTTTTTTTCTGTAATGTATGTAAAGACCCACCCCTGCTTCGAGTTTAGAGCAGCGTTGAGCACACTGTAAGCAATTTTGATAGGGGAGTGTCTTATAGTATGGAGAAATAATCTTCCTTTATAAAGATTAATATGAGAAGCTGAATTTCCAATCAGGATAGTGAATAAACATGGAATTGGCACAAAGGGAAATAGTTTCAAATAGAAGACTTCAAATGCGGTGAAGTAGAAGAGCTGTTACCTGAAGAAGGTCAGATGGTTGTCTGTCAAGTAGCCTCACAAGGTGGGATTTACTTTCATAAATTCATAACGATGTGAACTTGTAGGATCAGAAACTTGACTTTATCACTGTGCTGAAAATGTGTTCTTTCTATAGAAGCTGACTCATCTGTCAAGCTCATAGAGACTGATGTATAATCACAATGTCAGTTTATTAATTTAGATTAAGAAATAACTTGCAGAGAGATCCAGATTCTCTTTATAGGTAGATATAGTTTTGTCATGTGATGCTAATAATACCCAGTTAATTTAAGCCACTGTAGATGATTTTTATTACTTTGCAACCAGATGTAATCTTGATATTTCTTGTTCTTTAGTCAAAAAATGTTTCTCTTGGATCTTTCCTCTTTCATGTGGATTTTCAGGTCAGCTGAACAAGTTAAATGCATATAAGAAGAGAACAATCTATTGTGATTTTTAAATTTGCATTGCATAGTATTTAAAGATTAATCTGGGGAAAATAAATATATTTCTGATGTTGGTTGGGTATTCACGTCTATTAACATTATATATATATATAAATATAAAATTTTAGGTATATTAGAGATATATATATAAATACAGATATATTTTCAAAATCATCTTATGTCTTTCAATAAAGTTTTCAAACTTTTTCATGTAGGTCTTGCTCATCTTTTGTAACATTTATTACAAAGTCTCTTAAATCGTGTTTCAAAAAATTACACTTTTTACTATTTATTGTTGGTGTATAGGAATGAAATTGATTTTTATATATTGTTACAAGTAACGTTGCCATCGTATTGGTTCTGATAGTATATTCTGTATCAGTTTAATAGGGTATACTTTCTCTTAAATTTTCTATATAACCATATCATCGGCAAACCATGACTATTTTTTCCCTTCTGGCTGTGGTAGGGACATTTCTAGTCCATGCTTGTGTCTAAGTTTTCAAATTTAATTTTTCATATTTGTCTCTTCAGATTAAAAATCTCTACTGTACCTGTAATGTCCCCTTTTAATGTATTTCTAATATCAACAGTTAAGACCTACATGTCCTTTTAAGTATCTACCTTAGATTATCCTGCATGTTTCGATATAAATGACAGTACTTTTTCTTCAGTTCTAAGTACAATTGACCTTCGAACAACATGGGTTTAAACTGTGCGAGTCCACTTATACGTGAATTTTTTTCAAGAAATATATTGAAAAAATTTTTTGAGATTTGTGACAGTTTGAAAAAACTTGAAGATGAGCTGTGTAGCCTAGAAATATCAAAAAACAAATTAAGAAAAAGGTATGTCATGAATGCATAAGATATATGTAGATACTGGTCTATCCTCACATAGGCATGCGTGAGTGGTATTTAATATAAAATTAATAATGTGTTAGTTTTCTTATTTTACAACTTTGCTTTCAAAGAGTTACATTACCATGCGGTATGCCTCTCCCTCCCTCCCTCCCTCCCTCTCTCTCTCTGTCTCTCTCTCTCTCTCTTAGCTGGAGAAACTGCATTATCAGCCTATCATCACAGGTAAGTGGTTTTAAAAAACATGTAACAATGTTTCCAATACTGTATTATGAATATGACTGCTATACTGTATGGCATAAGACTTTTATAATGATTTGTTCATTAGTGTATAGGCTAGGCTACCATGAAGCAACCGTATTGATTACACTAGGCAGTCATATTGCTGCTTCTTCATTATCAACTCATGAATCATTATACCTGTAAATAAATATGAACTTCTT